CTCAGAAAACTAAAGTGTGGGACTGCCTCATCCTTCACAGCCTGGCATCACCACTACTTAGACTTCTCAGAGGATATGCAACTAGCTTGCTCCTTCTATGTGACTGTATCCTGCCTGAGGTCATCTCCCTCCCAGTCACTGTGGGAGGGTGACTCCAGAGGTCCTAAAGTGTAGTTGCTATGTGACTTCTGATTCTAGAGCAGCTCGCACTTAAACAATAAACTCAACTCCTTCCCCAAGTGGCTTTTGATTACATCACTCTCAAGCAGGGAGGAGCCTGAGGTGAATTTCTTCTTCAATTCTACTCTATCATACGAGTCACTTTCAGAGTAAAATTGTACGCTACACTTACAGTTTAAGGTACACATGGATTTTAGGGGTTGGTGCTGATGTCAATTATTCCTCTGTGGGGCAGCAGAGCTGTGCAGCTTACTTTGTGTTTGTGGAGAAAGGAGCCACTCCCAGGAAGCTGGGGTTAGTGCTCCAGATGCTTCATTATTTTCTCTGTGTTGTCTTCAGTTTCTCTGTGGTTTCTAGTTTTCTTCTTGGCACTTTCTTAATTCCTGGAGCTCTATTTTTTCTCTGCACTAATTTGGTGTTTTCCAGGTATCTCATTTCTAGGTTGCAAAGTAATTGTATTTTGATGCTAGTATTTACTCTACCATTTTTCATCCCCCCCATCCTTTGACTTTTATAATCCCTGGGTTATTTCTTAGAGATACTTGTGAGCTGTTGAATTAACCTTTCATGATTTCTTACAAGTAATTTTACTCTTCTGAATCAGTGATCTACTAAATTATTTTTTGTCTTCCAGTCCTGAAATTCTGTCTTGTGATTGCTTATGTCTACTAGCATGACTTTAAATTGTGTTTTTCATTTCCAGAATTTCTATTTAATTCTTTTTAATAACCTTTAATTCATTACTAAAATGGTCACTTATAGCCCACATTGTGTTCCTTAATTCAATCAGCTGCTTGAAAGTCTATGAACATCTTATTAAATAAATTCTTTTTCTGATTATTTGCATCCTCTTTGAGCTCACTGAACATCTTACATATTTTCTTATTTGTTTTTTCTTTGACCGCTTCCACCTCTTAACTCTTTCATTTTTGAGTTCTTTGCCTGAAACATCCTTCATTTCCATATCAAGAAGATCAGCTTTCAGAGAGTTATGCATTTTTGAGGCATCTTATTGTCTTGTTTTCTTATGATTCTTTAGCTTTTCTGTTGAGTGTTGTACATAAGATTGGCTAGAAAGCACTAGCAATGAACTGCAAGGGAGAACAGCTAGCAGAAATACCAATGTCCAAAGAGTTAATCATATACTAATATGAAGTTCAGAGCTTATTTAGCAAGTTTTTACCTTACTGAGTAACCCAGGAATACAGAGGATTAATAGAGAAACGATGAGAAAGGGCTGAGAGAGAAACAATGAGACAAAAAAGAATTTTAAAAATAGCTAAGAAAGGAGATGAAGAAATGGGTGGAGGAAGGAGGGAGGGAATGAAAAGGGAATGAAGATGTGTTATGTACAGTGCCGACTCCCCACAAGTACAATACTGTGTACTATGCAATGCACTACTAAACTAAAAAAATTAAAAATAGATAGAAGAAAAACCGAGACCACAAAGACTAAAATCAAACAAAAGCAGACAAAAGAAAGAAAGTAGTTTTCGAGGATATTCTTTTTATACCCACAGAACAGGGTGGAGGAGAGGACTTCAGAGGATGTGTGTTGGGGGAGGGGAATAGTTGCACTGGGCTTCTTCAGCTGGGGAGACTTGAACTCTTCCAAGGCTGAGTGTTCACCTGAGCTGAGTTGAAAGCAGCGCTGCCTCTCATTCTAAATGCCCCTAATCACTGGATTTCATCTAATGGGCTGCTCTTTCAAGTTGCCTCCTATGACTGAGTTTTTGTTTGCCCCAAGTATTATCTGATTACCTTGGTGAAAACCTCCTGAGCAACTCATGAGCCTTCAGCCCACCAAAGTGGTCAGTGCCTAATTTGGTCTTTCCCTAGCCATTTATCGAAAACACACTCTGAGTAGTGCTATAAATTCTGTAGAGGATACAAAAGAACGAATGAAGCCTTAAAGCTTATGGAACTTGCAATCATTTTAAGAGATTATCAAAGGACAAATGCAAAGTATCGGGGGTGGCTTCAAGGACAAACAAACACACTCAAAGAAGTTGTGATGAAGAGTAATTTTGCCTGAGATAATGAGAAAAGTATCCCTGGCAGAGGTGACAGGTGAGCTTGAGTTTTAGAGCAAAGAGAACAGTAAGAGGGAAGAGAAAGATGTGTTCAGGAAATGAGCAATAGCCAGTGTTCCAAAAAACAGAACACAAGCAAAGGAAAAAACTCTACTAGTTGTTGACAGTAAAAGGATCTATCTTTCAGGCAAAGTGGAAATTAGTAAAGATTTAAGAGCAGTGGAATAAAATTATCAAATGTCATTAACCTGGCAGCAGTTTGTTAGGTGAATGTAGTAGGGAGAGGTTGAAAGTGGGGAGACTGGAGATGAGATAAAAAATGGACGTTGATAGTAGTGAACTGTTAGTCCAGAATGTTCCATAGATATTGAAGGTCATTACTTATTAGATTGTACAATACCCTTACTTGGTGGTATACTTTTTAAAAAATGAACTATAGTAGAATAAAAATTATTAGATTTCACTGCATATAGTAAAGGTATGTATGCGTTTTACTGGGCATACATGGAACTATGATATTAACTGTACTCTATTTCTTACTGTTGATTGTGCTCAAAGTAGAGAAACTCTTATCAGAAGATGTTTTTCATAAAACTATCTTCACAGTAATTATAAATGATAATTTACTGTGTTCTAGGCAAAAGCATGAGTAAAATTACCACCATCATTACTATTATTCTTTGGGCTGTGCTGGAGATGGAACTCAAATCCTTGGACATGTTGGTAGAGAGAAATTCTACAAGCACGATGTGTACAGGAGACCAGTCTGTATTCTGTATTTGAAATAGCTGCTGACTGAAGTATCACTTATTCACTATTTCCTTCAGAAACATGATGGCAAATGTTCAGCACATCAGTGTAATTTTTTAATAGTCTTTGTCATAACCTTTTTTTTTTTTACAAATGATTAACTGCCTTCAAAATAGTGGTTTGCAATTGGGCACAATTTTATCCCATTGGGACGTTTGCCAATTCCCACAGGCATGTTTATTTAGCACAATTTGGGGAGAGGGTATGCTGAGGGCCTTTGGTAGGATACTACTATATATTCTATAATGAATAGGGCATCCCTTACACAAAGAATTTTCCATGCCAAAATGTCAAGAGCACCAAAGTTATGTAATCTTACTTCCAAGTGACACAAATTTGTCGTGAATCAAAGAAATGTATTTCTTTACAATTAAGCGATTTGAAAATTCACACTTCTGCCCAAACATGGACTCAGTAACATTGTTTGTTGAATGCTCTGATCACCAACTTTATTAGATTTAAAATGATATATCTATATCTTCTAACATGTGGTCCCAAGTTAGATCCTGAACACACAAAACAGTTTATAAATATGTATTTCACAACTCCAATATCATTCTTCAATCTTAGCACCAAAAGTCAGAATTAAATCTTACCACCACAACACATAGTAATTTACATGCTTGTGTACGCTTATTTATACGAAGAAGCAACTTGTCCTCAAGTGAGGTCAGAGAATTGGCAGCCAGCTGCTTAAGGGAGTCATTTAAAATTATAACCTTAAGTATTTCCTACTTTAAAACAGCTTCAATAGCTTTTACTGAAAACTTCATAGACCCAATGATTTAGCAAATGTAGGCAATCATAAAGATACTTTATAAGAAAAAGACATGCAGAATTGACTCCTGGCTTCAGTTTTCTTAACCACAACATAAGTGTATGACTTGTGCAATCTTCTCTAAACTTTAAACTTTCATGAGCCTAAATTATGGGTAAATTTTTTGTGAATAAGTTACAAATCTCATCTGGCTTACTTTAGGGTTGTTCTGCCTTCTCAGTAGGACATGAGGGAAATGATAGAGCAGTTCCATTGTCCGATGGTTTGGCTTTTACTGTGCTACATGAGTAAATAATAGCCTGCAAGCTCTGATGTTTCACAGGCATTGCCAGGCAGAGCGATGTTTCTGTGAAGCCTTTCTTCAGTGGCAGTACGGAAGACGGCAGCCTAGCTCTCCTAATGACGTCATGAGACACTCTACTTAGGAAGTACGTTTTCTCTTTCAGACCACTTTGTTCCCACATTCCATGTGATAGGTATCCAAAATTTTATATTTATTTTTTAATATAATTTTTTAAAACACTAGGGATCTATGATTGCAATAGCACTCGATAAGGGCTAATTGGTGGCAGAAATTTAGGGGACAAACTTTTCCTTTTTAGGTAGCCAAACAATATTCTTTAACTCTTCTGGGTGCTAGTAAATTCTCAATTATTTTCAGCCATTTAACCTTACAACAACAATGGACAAAATCTCCCCCTGGTGATCAACATATGTCAATGCATCTTTAGAATAAATTCTTGTACCCTTATCCTGGACCCATAAAAGTTACCATCACCTTCCCCCAAATCTTCATAGCAAAAATACATTGGATTAAACAATTGTGCTGTTAAGTGTGCTGTCTCTGACTATATCTATAGGGTGACGTGTGTGTGTGTGCATGTGCGTGTGAGTGTTAAAATAATCACAAAAATTTAGAGGTTTCTTCTACCAGACTTTGTTTCATATATATGTATATATATATATGTTACACACATATATATATGATATATATATATATATATATATACACTGAAAGACAGAAGCCAGTAAAAATGATTTCTACTGAGATTCCTGGCATGGAAACTAATCATTAACTATGAGGATAGAATACAGAATTTCAGACAAACATATATATATATATATATATATATATACACATATATATATGTTACATATATATATACACATATTCTCTATAAAAATGCCTAAGATGCTTTACAAGTGGCAAATTTATTTCTTGTGGAGGAAAAATATTTGGAAAACATGGGAGAATAAGGAAAATGAAAAAAGCATTCGTGAGTTCTGGAGAAATGACAGAGAATTGTTGAGTTTCCTGAACTCTTACAGTTCAAAACGCTCCTCACTGACTCCTCTGGCAAAGATGTCACAAGACTCTCACAGACCATCTCAGGCATTTGTATTCCTCTTCATTATCCCCCAGTTCACTCGATTTAAAGATCCAAAAATTCCAGCTGTAGTTTTCAAGCCAGGGTAAAGCGACCCATTACCTTACAAATAGAAAATCTCTTATAAATCAGCTATGACTACTGCTTAACCAATGTGACTCCAAAAGAGATCATGTAATATGTTTCATGTTGCCAGGTTGTCACTTAATCTCACTCTGTTGTACCACGCCCACTGAATATCTGGATTTCATAGATGTATGGCCTGCATACAGCTCTTTCTTTTTAGCTTTTATGCTGAGTTAGAGGCCTGTTTTCGAAGCAATCCAGCGTCGGTAATAAGTCACTTCTGTGTAGACTCCAGGTTTGTTCTTTTGACCACAGTTATCTCCCCAGCTCACAATTCCAATGAGATACCAGGTATCAGTATTATCTCTTATAACTAACGGTCCCCCAGAATCACCCTGACAATTAAAAAGAGAAAAGAAAAACAGAGAAAGCGAATCAGCTAAACATAAAGCTTATTATTTAAGATATTTTGATGAACTACACATTCTATTAGTTGACATTACACAAGCAGATAATCAATATACACTAATAAACTCACACATGGATTTCAAAATTATAAATAGCTTTAAATTTCACTTTGCATATTTTACATTAAATTTTGCTTTTGTTTGAGTAACCAACACATAGTTAAAGGCAAAAAGAAAGAACACGGAAAGGAATCATCTGTCCCAGATTTCTCATCCAGAGTGGTCCCAAACATAGACATTTTATGCTTAGTAATTTTCATAGCATCCACCTCCTTACCACCAAATAATATGCACAACTTGCTCTCTCCAGGTTTAGATGGTACAGACTGATTTTCTGCTGGGTATGTGAGGGTTTACTTTTTCCAGAGCCTTCTTGAACCACCGCTCCCTGTCCCCCAACAGTGTCTTTATATTGTAGATCTCTGGTTTTAGTTAAATTAACAACTAGTGTTTAATATCCCTTTGTAAATTTTATTTATTGATGAGTTGACTAACATATTTTGACTGTATTACCTTTTTTGGCAGACTTTGATTTCCTAGAATTAAAAACATGTTCTTTTGCATTTGGCTAGTTTTCTATATACCTGTGGCAAATGTTTCATGTTCAAAAATATCCACCAACACCTAACATTATTTTTACTAATATTCCATGATATTACATAACATGTCAATTCTTTTATTTCCTCTGAAAATGTCCCCATGTCTCAACCCGCACTTTCTGTCTCCATCTTTGTCTCTCTCTCTTTCCCTCTTGTTTTTTATACACACACTTTCTTCTCTTCTCTCTTATAATGATTACTTCAAGCCTGGTGTAAGGCTGACTCTGAGACTGTTACTTTTCCTTTGTGTTGAATGCACAAATATTTTAGGCCCCTTAACTTTCATTTTCTTGCTTTCCCCCTCATTTCATTGAGGCACCCTCTCAGGTGGATTCCTAAGAAAGATGGTATGACTTGGACATTTTTTGAATCGTTGTTTGTCTGAAATTCTTTATTCTATCCTCATAGTTAATGATTAGTTTCCATGCCAGGAATCTCAGTAGAAGTCATTTTAACTGGCTTCCTTCTTTCAGTGGTACTGTTGAGGAGTCCTGTGGAAGTCCGATGGGTCTTCCCTTAAAACTTTAAGGTTGTTCTCACTCTCTCCAGGGTTCTGACATTGTATGTTACTGTACTGGGAGCAGCAGTCAGCACTCCAGGTATTGTGTCCATTACCACGTGGGCCCATTTTTCAGTAAGACACACATACACATGCGCTTCAGCACTACAAAGCTTTGATTGTCTTTGATAACACACGTTCATGTTTTCTGTTGCAGAACTTCTATTCATTTGGTATTTGGCACTTTGGTTTTGGCACTAATTTTCTTACCCTTTCTTGTTTTCTTTTATTTTTCTTCCCTTCTTTTTATCTTTTCTCAGAAATTTTTTTGGTTTTATATTCCAACTCTTCTACTAGATCTTGAAAAGTACCATTATATTTTTACTACACGCCTGCATCTGACTCAACTTGCTCTTTGGTTCTAGAGGCCGGAGTGGAAGCTCTTTGTTAAGAGATCAACAGGGGTCAACAACATCAGGGATTGTTGGCTGTTGCTCTTTGTGGTGATAGGGAGCGCTTAAATCCAGCATGTGCAGGGCTTTCTGTAGACAGGCTTTTCTACCAGTGATCCGTGCCGCTCCAGCACGGAGAGAAAGCTGGAGGTGCTGTACTCACAGGAACCAGGCATGGAGAGGTTAAGGGCTACTTCCCATAGTCCCCACCTTGTCAACCTGTAGCGCCTCTGCTCTCTGTGATGTATGGTGTTGCTGAGTTGCTGAGTTCATAGGGCCTCAGATTTGACTGCTCTGGAGAGCGAACTTTCTGTCCCCTGAGTGTGTTTGGGGGTACTGATGCTCTGAGAAGGCGGAGAAAGTGCTCACCTGGCCAGTCAGGTTGGGAAGAACTAGGGGTGCTAAGTACTCTCTTCACTCTCTGTACCATTCTCTGTGAAGAGAGTACTTAGCCATTCTATCTTCTAGCTCATCTCTGGCCCTAATCTTCAATGTTATCTGGCCTTCAAAATGTTGCCCTTTATTTAAAATTGGTATTCCATACTCCGCCACCCAAGATGTTTGTTTTAAACTCACTTTGGCTAAGCCAGTTAAAACACCTGCACTTTTTCTACCATTCTCAAAAATTTTGCCAAAATCTCTTTTTAGCTTTTTTTTTGTTCTTATTGGTTAATAATGTAAAAAAGTACAATTTACAGCTAGTCAGAAAATCATATTTTGTAGATACAAAGCAGTTTTCCAAAATGATTATCTACTTTTTCTCTGTGGTCATTTTAGGAGGTTTTGGGTAGAGTAAAGGTGAATTTAAATGTAAAATTTCCATGCTTAGATATTTTCGTCTATACCTTTTACAGACAAATAAGAGAAAGAACTGTAAAACCTGATTATTCTAAAATATGTCTAAGGAGGCAAAATAATAGTGAAGAGAAGCTAAGGATTGTGACCCTCTGTCTGGTATACAAATTAGAACACATAAAAATCTATTGAAGGGTTATATAATGAAAAATCTAATGAAATTTTTCTTTATCAATTCAGATGGTTCCCAGTTTTCATCATGAACAGCCATGATTAGTATATTGTATATGAAATTTTTCTAAGGCTCATGGACCCTGTCTAGGGTTTGGAAGTCAGTGTTTGTGTGTGTGTGTGTGTGTGTGTGTGTGTGCGCGCTGGACACAGATCCCAGGACCTCATATTGCCAAGTAAGCACTCTGCCACTTTAGCGTCCTCTGATAGTAGCATGATTTCTTGATATTCACCTGTTTGTTTAGCAGTAAGAGATGGCCAGCTTCCGCCTCCCTCTGAGTTCTGTCAAATAGTTTTTTAGTAGATGTGATGCTGATTACATCAGCTTAAGAATTCACAACTATGATGTCTCCATTTCCTTTACTTGGAAAGTAGAGGATTTAAAAATCCTCAGAGTGAAGATCAATTGATAAGATATAATGGAATCTTTAACAAACAAAATTCTTGGGCTGAAGATATAGCTCAGGGGCTCAGTGCCTGCCGGCAAGCACGAGATCCTGAGTTCAATTTCTGGTACAAAAAACAAAAACAAAACAACATTCCTTACAATATGAAAAATATAGAAACACACAATCATTAAAAATCTGATACTGAGCATTAAAAGGATATTGGCTACCTGAGGTGAGGCCAGATGGTTATATTACCGTATTCTGAAATTTTATAACCTACACTGGTTTATCGTATTTGTCAAATTTCATTGTGAACCGAAATCCCTATGTGGAGTTTCTTAAATGCAGATCTAGGATTCCCACATCTAAAGGTTCTGCAGGTGCAGGGCAGGACCCAGGGCCTACATTTTAACAAGTGCTCCAGTTGATTGCATTACAGGGCATCTGCAGAACACCTGTAAATCATGAGTTTAGAAGGATTGTAGCTCAAATGGTATTGCTGTTTCCTTCCTTCCCACTAATTCTCATTTCCTCTTAATTTAATAATTAATCATTCAGGAGAAATTCAATGAGCAAGGAGCTTTCAAGGCTCTCATCTGCTGGAAGAATCAAGGTGGAAAAGCACACAGCAGAAAGCTGTGAGCGCCAGACCAAGGCTCAGCTAATGACACAGCAGGTTAGAGGCAGGGAACACAGCAGGGATGGACTGAGAAGCAGACACACACATGCATGCACACAAGCATGGCTCTTGCACACATACATCACACACACATGCACATACACATGCAGGCATGCACACACATGCAGAGGAGGAAAGCTCTATTAATAAAAAAACTATAAAATATGAAATAATAAGTAATATAAAACAAAAATGATATTTAAACAAGTAATTAAAAACTCTGAAAATAATAGTAATATAAAATGTGTAAATATAAAATGCACTATCAAAGTTTATATAAACCTTAGACTATCATGGTAGGGGGACAGGTGTCATCCTCTGTGGGGCGTGCTGTGGATGTGGGGCATCAGCCACATCTTGAGGGAGTGGGTCGGAGCAGCTGCAAGTGCCTGGGGCTGATACTAGACTCGGGATCTTTCTGCCACCCTTCACTGAGTGACACCCCATTCTCCTCAGCTAGGTAAGCCGGAAATTCAATTTAGTTTTCTTTTAATTTTGTAGCCAGAAATTTAAGTGTCATGCTTCACTCGCCCAGCTTTCTCCAGTCACATGGAAGTTATACTTGCACCTGCTAATTTTAACTACTATCTACTTCTGTCTCCAAACCACCTTCTTCCTCCAAATGACCTTATTTCATCCGGATTGGCAGTTCATGCGAATTGAGCCACCATAATTATCCAGATTTTTTTTTTTACCGTGACAAAAATGATTTTCATAAGGTTCAAATTTGATCAAACCACCCTTTTAGTTTAACAAACATCTAATAAGCCAAGAACATTTTGGAGAAGATGTACATATTAACTAATTTAATATGGATATCTTGATTAAAACCATTTAACAGATTTCCATCACTGTTAAGAAAAATGGGAAAACGGTTAAAATAACTGCAAGGCTCCACCAGCATTCTCACTCCAGCTCCCGCCCAACCCGGGCCTTGGGGCCCAGAGTTCTATGCTCATCTTCTCCCTAACCCCCTAACCCATCACCGTTCCCAACCTTCCTGGTGTGTCCTGCTCCTCCCCTCAATGCTAGTTTAACTGCAGACACTTTTCAGCTTCATTCCTGTTAATCACATATTTCTCACAATCATATTTATTTCTCATAATCTTTTTCTTCCAAGCACTCTTTTTTAGATGTCTCTCATGATTGCCCATGATTTATCTCCAGCAACTGGCATGGTTCAAAGCACATAGTGGAACCCCTCAGTCAAAACAGTTCTTGAGTTATTAGATATTTATTAAACTAAAGGAGTGGTTTGATCAAACTTGAACCTGATAAAATCATTTTTGAATAAATAAATAAATTGGGGATTTGAATAAATAAATGAGGAGACTTAACAGAATGGACAAAACAATGACCATGGAAGATTATGGCTTAATTTTCCTCTATGTTATGTTCCTGACTACCTGAATTTTAAATTATGAGTCCCCTAGGGAAAAAAAATGCTCAAAATGCACCTACGATTTTCTGGAATGATTTCAAATACCATTTTAAGAGAGTGCTCAGGGGGCTGGGGATTTAGCTCAGCGGCAAAGTGCCTGCCTGGCAAGCGCAAGGTCGTGAGTTCGGTTCCCGGTACCGGAGAAAAAAACAAAAAAAAACAAAAACAAAAAAAAACAAAAACAAAAAAAACGAGAGTGCTCCAATTCAAGCAATTTGAATGGTGGTTACAACTAGGTGTCTTTCATTTCATCAGCTTTTGAATGAACTAGACACAGGACCAAAATCACAAATCTGCCCTAAGCTGTGAAAACTTTTCATTTCTGGTCTTCATACCTACAATTCTGATCCATTGGCATCTGTACTTGTGTCTTGTCTGACTAGACTTCTGGGAGAAGTCTTCCACATAGGAGAAGGGATTTGTTGAGTTCTACATCAGTATTTGGTAAATGTGAGAATGACGTCGCTGCAGCTTTATTTCTCCTCAGAAGATTCAGGCCCCCTCCCTGCGTACCCACTGGCAATGCTATGTTCCTGTTTTTGATCCTTGTGTTGGAATCATTGCCCTGATAACTCTCCCATTTTTCTGTGACGAAAGCTTTGTTTTATTACTCATTTCCGCAGGTAGGCAGCAATCTTACTTCTACTCTTTAGTCCAGGGAAGCCTCTGTATGTCTTCCAATCCTTGCTGAAGTGTATCCACAGTCTCACTGTTGGAATCCTTATAGCCTGCCTGCTCCACGCCTCCCAGTGACAACTTGCACTGGTTCCCATGACACCGACCTCTTGCTGGAGTCCTGGAATTCTAGCTGCCTCTCTTTACACTCTTGGCAAGTGAGAATAGACATGTGCTCGATACTGTTCTTGGACAGCCGAGTTACTACAAAACTCACTGCTCCTTCTCAGACAGGGGTTGCCCTGCTATGTAGGACTCTAGGTGAGGCTTTCTCTTACCTGATACCAGTACCACTCCCGTCATTTCACCATGTAGAGAGCCACCTCCTTGGAATTTTTAAGAATTGCACATCAAAAAGCGAAAGCCTTGCCTCCAGGAAGAAAACAACTCACACCTTTTCCATGAAAAACACATGCCCGAGAGATTCTGGAGGACAGAGAAGTCACTGGGAAGAGCTCTGGGATACCAGCAACATGGCTTATCTACCTTCGCGCTGTTACTCAGACCTCTTGGCTCTGGTCCTTGCTCTACTGAGACCCAAAAGTGCACCTGGCATTCCCTCAACCATGAATTGCAGTTCACACCTTTGTAATCTTGGGTATGCTTTTTCTCTTTTCTGGAATATTCCTTTCATTTTCTGTAATTGGGTGAGTGCTGGTTTTCACCATACCTCATTGAAATTATCATTTCCCTGAGAGTTGTTCCAAAAATATTCCCCTCAAGGAATATTTGCTCTCCAGTGTGTTAGTTATGATACCGCATCTCAGTGCATTGTACATAATTGCTTGCTGTTTAGAATGTGAACCCTTGGGAGAAAGGGACTCTGCTTTACTAATCCTTAGATTTCTCATTATTAAGAAATTTTAATTTTGTTGATTAGTCTGATAACATCAATGAAACTCTCCTTACTTCATTTTGCTTGACACAACACTGAAAAATATGTGGTTTTTTGTTTGTTTTTTTTTCTGGTACCAGGAATCAAACTCACAACCTTGTGCTTGCCAGGCAAGTGCTGTGCCTGAGCTAAATCCCCAGCCCTTGAAAAAATATGTATGTATTGTGAAATTTATAGTTAAAACCTTTTGGCGTTAGCATGACAGTTGTATTTTGTACTAGTATAAAGAACATTGAATAATTCCAGGGCCAGGTAAAAATTTTGAGATAATGATATTTGGATCATTCCCTCTCTTTGACCTACCCTGCATGCATCAAAAATTCCTTCCAGATATCCAGCACAGAGCATTCCAAATTTTATATCGTTGCCGTACACATGTGGTAGTTTACACACATCGTTACTGATGAGCTTCACTCTGGCTTCTCGAAGGTTGTTTTGCGATTCCCCTTATGGAAAAAGAAAGTAGTTTTAGTTTTTTCAGTTAGCGCCCTTAGCTAATGCAAAAAGAACAATTTCTTTTAATCTTCTTCACTGTAAAATTGTCAGTTCAGCACAGAGTTAATATAAATAGTTTTAGAGAAGAAAATCTAATTAAAATCTGACACACTTAATGTCCCATCATGTTTTTATAAATACTTCTATATGCAGGGAAAACATTTGGTCTTTTTGCTGTAAAATCTTTGTTTCTTTAAAAATAGTAAGTTTATTGTCATGGGGGAGATTTCACTTTTTGTGAAGTTTGTACCTCTGGTTTCAGATTGTTCCCATAAACTTTGCATTCTTAATGTTCTCTCTTGCCTTCATAAAATGAATATCATACTATGTCCATTTATTTTATCCTTTACATTTAATGAACAGCTTTCGGGTTTATAATGGCATTAAATAATAACAGCTTCTTCTCTGGCATAAGTTTGGACCTCCAGATTATAAGTCAGTATTAAGACCGGCAGACTCAATATAGAACTAAGAATAACAAAAATATTCTGGGGTTCTTTGTACAAACCACACAGAGGTGAGGAAACCATGACAGTCTGGTTGGCGGAATTCCAGGATACTCCCCGGGATTGCTGTGTGACTCCCATTTCCCCAAGTATGGGAGGGAATCTAAGGGCACGACGACTGTCATTCTCCCTATGAGATTAACGTTCATATGGCAGAAGTGTGGGAATTTTGCACATGTAATAAGATCCATGGTTTGATTCACTGAATTAATCAGAGATTATCCGAGGTGGGGGTGACCACATCGGGTAAGGCTTTCCATCAGTGGTTCGGAACTTCCCTAAATTCCAAGCTGTTTTTGAAATGGCGTTTAGGAAGCAAGGTGCCATGAGTTCTACAGCTGCGAGAAATGGAATTTGGTCAAAGAGTAGTGATCTCAGAAGACAGCACCGAGTCACAGATGAGACCACCTTACAGCCAATATCGTGATTGGAGTCTCGCGAGACTCTGAGCACAGGCTGCTCATGAGCTGTGTCTGAACTTCTGACTCACAGAAACTGTGAGACAATAATACAGAGAGCAGTTTTCAGCTGTTAAACTTGTGGTACTTTATTTACGCCGTATTGTAATAGGAAAGTAATACACCATTTTAAGACTCTCAAGACTATCACTTCAAGATTTATTTCTGGACAGGTGTTTGCAAATACATTTTTATAAGTGCTCAGGAAATATAAGTGCAAAACGACATTTTTTTTTTTTTTTGCTTACAACCTTTTCAACTTACCAGCACTTAGGAGGCTGAGGCAGGAGGATAGCGAGTTCAAGGGCACCCTGGGCTACATAGTGAGTTCAAGGCCAGCCTGAACTGCTTACTTAGCAAGACCCTGTGTCAAAACATAACAAAACAATACAAAATACTCCCCCCAAAACACCAAAAAAATCATGTGCAGTGCTGGGAAGGGTAATGTAAATATGAAAAATTTTCAGATGATTGTGTGAATTTTTAACTTTTTCAGTAAATTAGTTGATAAGATATATTTTGAGGTTTTAAAATCCTTTGTTTATTGATTGATTGATTGATTGATTTTTTGGAGAAAAAGTCCCACAATGCATTTTGGGCTGATCTTGAGTTCACTATGCTGCCCAGGGTGACCTTGAACTCACGGGAATCTTCTGCTGTAGCCTCCTGAGGGCTGCAACTACTTGTGTGTGCCTCCACACCCAGTTCCAAGAATAAGGTTTCTATTTGTCAGTTTTCTCGCTTTCACTTTCATTCATTTCTACTCTCATTATTTCTTTGTTTTAAATTTTTGTTTGTTTGTTTTTTTGGTACCAGGAGTCAAACTAAGGACTTCGCACTTGTCAGGCAGGTACTGTGCCCCTGAACTATACTCCTGGTCCATTATTTCTTGCAGTTGTCTGCTTTACTTTTTGTATTAGTTTCTTGAGGTGGGATTTGAATTACTGATTTGAGATCTTTCTTTTCTAATGGAAGCATTTGCTACTAATTTCTGTGTTTATCTTATTGCTTCCTGCACATGGGATTTAGTTTTCATTCAGGTCTATGTATTTAAAATTTTTTTCCTTAATACTCCCTTTTTGTGTGTGGGTGTGTTGTTTAATGTCTAAGCATTTGAAGATGTTCCTCCTATCTTTTTGTTAATGATTTCTGGTTTGAATCCATTATAGTCAGAGTACATTCTTTGTGTGATTTCAATTCTTTCATGCTTGCTCAGCTTTGTTTTATAACTCTGAGCATGATCTGCCTTGGTGAATGATCCCTGGGTGTTTGTGGTTAATGCTATATTGCTATTTTGGGATCAATGTTCGACAAAGGCTAATGTTTAGAATAGAATTAAATTCTGTTGTTATTAATAAGTTATCATGTAGGTATATCTCTGTGCAAACCTTAAAATACTGGCAGAAAATGACTTGTCCTACCAAGCCGAAAGGAATTCACAATGTTCCTCCCATCAGTGCGAAGGTGGACTGCAAACCCAATTGTAAGATGAGCCCTTTGTAGAAAGTGCAGACGGAGGAGCGTTTGGTCTGCCCTCCACTGCAGAGGGATTGGTGTGCAATGGGTAAGACTTCTGTGATTAGCAGTAGGACCTTAGAGAAAGCAATGCACATTCAGCATGTGGGAGATGTACCCACACCATGCAGGTATCTGAAGAAAACAGAGACGGTGATGCCTACTCCCGGCTATGTTAGTGAAAAGGTATTGCTAGTCCTTTAGTGGAGACTGAGAAGGAGAGGTTTACTCCTTATAAATTGCTATATGTTAAAGAAAAACTATATAAAGTTCTATACATACATTTTGTCATTTCCAAAAGGTCTTTTTTCATTTCAAGCCCAGAGTTAATTTTTTTTTTTTTTTCCTATTGTACATATACTGCAGAGCGCACTGTGGAATCCAGAGTAAATCCCTGATAATATCCGACATTCCTTAACTAAACTGTTGTTATTTTTTAGGAGATTAAGCTTGTATATCAAGTTGAATCGTTCTAGAAAGGGCAAAATGTTTTGGTGATTCACCTCTACACTTCTCTTGTTTATGAACACCCTTGTAGGAAGGGTCAGGCCATATCCCTGACCTGCTGTTAGCTACCTGCACCACTATGTGGCGCCAGAATTCCTTCACAGGAAGCCAACATGGGACCAGGGAACGCAAGGAGCCAGGGACTCAGCTCCGTAACCGTGATTCTAGCCGCGTCCGAAGCTAGACTGCTTGCATCTACTGACTTCTGAGATACAATGATCAAATTTCCTGTTCGTTCGTCTTTGTTTCTAATTTGGTTAATTTGTCTACGGCCATACCGCCCGATCCTCTAATTTGGTTAATTTGAGTCGAGTTTCTGTCACTTGCAAACTAAGAGCCCTAACTAACTCCACCTGTCTGGCAGGAAAGGAGAGCCCACCGCGCTGCCCTCCCCAGGGCAGGGCGCGCAGCCTGTCCCAGACACCCACCGCCGTAGTAGAGCGCTCCGAAGCCCGTGATGTACGCTGTGGAATTCGGCCGGAAGGAGTCCGAGGCTGCTGGCAGGCAGACCCGACGGATGTCGTCTGAGAAGGGGACTTTGGAGGACAGCTGCACGACGGCGATGTCATACTCCCTGGACGGGGAGCGGTACCGCTCGTGGACAACAATCTTTTTGACATTTCTTCTCATCAAGGGAGGGTTTATTGTTGTTCCAAAGCTCACAGTCCACTGACGTGGATCGACGCTACTGGAAAAGTTTAGAAATTAACAGCATATACGAGCTGTGCAGGGAATATGAACTAGATTAGAAAATGACACTGCTTAGTTGCAATTTAAATATAGTGCATTTTTAGTATTTGGAGGATTTAAATATATTTGGCATATTACGTATAATATATATTATATAACAATATATGGCATATTAGAGCTTCAATTTAATATCGAATTACTGAATTTCAGGGCTGGAAAGCACACACGATACCGTTCAGTTATCCCTTCCGCGAACACTTATTGAGCACCTATTTGCTGAACGTCACAGTGAGCGCCACCGTGTGCGAGGCATAAGTGTCCGGCTTACAGGACTGTTAGCCTCAAGAGCGCAAGAAAAAATCGAAACGAATTAGAAAGGAGATAAATAGCTTTCTGAGGAGTATGAATAAAATATAAAAAGAAAATGCGTGGAATGCATAGAGTGGAAAGGTTTTTTTTTAACAACACATGTAGGCTGAGAGACGATGAGCACCCCTTTATCAGGGGGACAAATCTCCAGGCAAACATCCTAAGGCCTGGGGGCCAAATGGGCTTCGATGTGGGACCCATGGGGAAAATTGCTGGGGAGAGAGGTGGGAGAGATAGGCGGGGATCAGAGTGTATTCTAGGACGTGCTGAATTGTTTAGAGTTAATTCGAGATTAGGAGAATGCTCTCCGCTTTCTTGAGCTTGGAGTTATATAGTCTTATTACATCTCAAGTCATGAGTGGCTCCCTCTGGACACTGAATTAGCAAAGGCGAGAGTAGATGTGGGGAAAGCTCTCTGAAGATGAGTGCAATCATCTTGTCAAAGACGATCAAGGGTGGATGACTTCTAGCTTGTGTGCTTGAGCAGCTGGGGGGCACGGTACCTACAGGAATTAGATTATGTAGACATGATGGAGATCACCGGATAAAGATTTTGCTTTCTACTTAAGGAAAATAAGTCCCAGATACATTAAAGCACTTGCGTTGTATCACGTGTACCTGTCTCACTCTGCTCTTTTCCCTAGAGGGCACAAAGTATACTTGTTAAGAATGAGATTGGTACACTTAATGATTAACTAGCTAACATTATGCATGAAACATAACAAGAAACAAACACTCCTACATAGAAACTTCTCAATCCCCTTGTGTCCTAATGGTTAGCTTTAGGCAGAGAAAGAACATGTGAGCATATGCACAGGGTTTAGTCTAATTCTGCAATGTTAGTTGTGCTGGGATTATTGTTTTAAAAATCCATCTTCTTATAACCTTTCAGTGTGCATAGCTAATCCAATGAGAAAAGCTAAGTAAAGATGGTTTGTAAAGGTAATTGTTCATATACCACATGAATCATTAGTGTATAATCATTTTTGTGAGTTTTATGGCTGCAAGACTCTTTCCTCAATGACATCATACCTAGATGAATTTAACATAAATCAGATTTTTGGAATTGGAAATGTAAAGATTAGACTTTGAATTGTTTTCACTCAAGTGGGAATGACTTTCCTAGAACTTTGGAACAATGGTCTGATAATATTTAATATTGCTTGTATTTTATTACATTTGCATATGATGAATCTTTAAAAATACATTCATAAGAGACTCTAAATCAGTATTAAAAATAAGCTTTCTAAACTTTTAACATGAGCTTGAATAATACAAATGGAAATTAATGGTAATAAACAAAATACTTAAGAATTTGGATTCCAAAATCAGTTGTAAAAATTCAAAATGGTGACACCTGGTCCTTAAGCAATCCCTAAAAAAGAATCTTGGAATTTTGTTGATTATTATTAAAAAAATAAACAAACATGTGATAAATTGTCTTAAATGTTAACTCAGTAATAGACTGAAGTAATATTAGTCTCAGGGTAGGAAAGGTTCGAAAACTATGTGTGAGCCTCTCATAAATCCAGTGTTCTGGCATCAGAAAGATGTGTGTTTTCACTTCCACCATCTCCTTCCATTATGACCGGGGATGGTGGTGGTGGTGGTGGTGGTGAGTTTTTTGACTTTTCTTACCTGCCTCAGTGAAAAAGAGGTTATCAAACTAGGCTTAATTAGCAGAACGGATGTAAGAATTATATGAAATAAATCTTGAGCACCTAACCAAATGTTCATAGCACAGTGGAGCTTAGTTATTGGTGCTAATCGTTACAAAAACATCCTCAAGGAATGATTGTTTATGCTTGAGGTCTTCAGCAGATGTAGGCATGTTCTTTGCCTTGGAATCTCTTTCATCTTTAAGCAGATATGCCTCTTGGCAAAATCTTTCTTGATTTCCTAATCCTCTTCCACATGACGGTATTTCATATCTACTAACACAACTGTCATCTATATCAGAGCTTTCTCAGGATAACATCTTTGTCCCCTAAAATTAAGAGATATATTATCCTTTTTCTTTACCAGCCAAGATCCTCTAAGAGGATTTCAGTGTGTCAGTTCCTCCTTAAGTGTGTTGTTCAGGACTGAATTTACTGTCTTAGGTAAGATCTCACCCAAGGAGTCTATAATCTCATTTCTTCCTTCCTCTACATGTTTCAAATGCAATTTAAATCACAGTGCAGTCTTGGGGACAATAGATTCCAAGTGAACGACCTTCTGATACAGTTTTCTAAGTACATTATTGTACATTCTTGCTTTCTGTACTGTTTTTCTTTTTTTCACCCAGCTTTAAGCCCTCCATTCATATTTACTAACTAATCATTCACTAATTAATCATTTTATTCTTGCTCATTACTCTGACATGGTTAAGGACTTTTAAAAGTTTACATTTTTGTTATTCAATACATCCATTTCCCTTCTAAAGCTTCTATATCATCTGCCCATTCTGGAATACACACTGTCTAGGGCATAAAGAAATGAGATTTTTATTTTCCTATCTTTGGTAGGCCAGAGAATGTCATCAGTATTTCAGCAGACCTTCCTAAGTGTCACCCTTGGAGTACAACTGTTTAGTGAGTGAGCTACTTGTTACCCTTGCATTCTACTTATGTTATTTGTCTTTTCCAGAAGCTTCTTTTTTTTACTTGTCCTGTGTGACATTAACCATGCTATCTATCTTTGTGGGTTTAATTCTTGGAAGTTTATGTTATGGGAGACACTGATAAATGTTAAACATTTGTGGGAGAACCAATAGGATAGGACCTTTGGAAGTTGGTGCTGTTAAAATAAAATTTTATTTTAATAAGTAAAATAAAAACTTATGGTTTAGAGATTTTTATTTATTTTATGATTGGCCTGAAAAAGAGAATCTAGGAACAGCTGTAAAGATATCTGCAAATATAGAACTACTATCACGGTATTAGCTAACTTTGGTGAAGAACCCATGAACGAGTGGTATCCTGCCCAAAAGTAAGACCTGCAGAAAAGATTGTTGACTTCAGCCTATTCAGCTCAGCTTTTGAAAAGTAAGAATCTATATACGATAGAAGGAAGGAGATGGGGGGAAGAGCAAGGAGTACTAAAGAGTTGAGTGTGTCACGTGCACGCACCAACTCCCCACAATGAAAGTAATCATTCTGCACTGGGAATATGGACTAATATGAATAAATTAAAAATATAAACAAACAAGGTGGCATATTATGCAAACAATAGTGAAGTAACAGTTAAAAGGCATCAAATAAGCTCTTAAAGAGCACATCACACTCCGCATAATTCCTGAAGAATAAAGGGAAGCTTGCTCAGTTAAGCGGGGGAAGGAATTTAGAGAAAAGGATTAATGCAAGCACACTAATTTCCAAGAACAAAGGTCGTTTTGCAGTGAATGAAGTGTAGAATGTGTTGTGCAGTCAAGAATGTAGATATAAAAGTGTCACAAAGGCAAGACATCATCCTTATATCTCTAAGGACTGTTTCTACAGGCAAATAGAGGGGTCATGACAAAGGCGGGACCACAGTCAAGGCCACTCTAAGTCTTCATTGCACAGCACAGAAGAAATCAATATTCATGCCAATTTTCAGTTCAGGATACAACAAATGCAATTACTTTAAAGTTCTGCATTTGTGTACCAAGATAATGTTCAAACAATCCACATACTTTAAAATAAAAGATAAATATTTGAAAAGATTATAAGAAATAAATAAAATGTTACATAGCAAAAACACTTTCAAGAAGAATCTTAAGAATCTACAGTATATACCCTATAAAGTATTAAGTGCCTCTACATAGATTTATACTCTTAGATACACAGATTATGATAACCAAAGTCAGAATTTTATAGGTAAAAAAAGACCAGGAGAATATCTCAATCATCTATTTCCTAATACACTAAGCTTTGCTAACTTGTCCAAGCTACAGATCCCTGATGGTTCTCCAGCTGGCTGGGGTATGCTTTGCTGTCCAGTCCTCTTGGCATCTGTTTTACTGAGATACTCCAGAAGGCTTGTGATCACCATAATAACTGGTACTGAGGAAAGCTCATCAAGTTAATCTACTTAGGAACCCCAAAATTTAAATACAACAATGATAAAAGATCTGACTTGATATTATCTGGAAAAATAAAGCTGAAAATGACCATAAAACCAGACATTTTATCTTATCGCTGATAAAATTTATGCTGTGTAATATAAGGCAACATGTGCTCATGAGGAATAAAGATTAGTTGTGTTGACTGTTTGGTAGTGCAATATGCTACTCTGTATCTCAGGATTGTCTTTTGTGGTTCTGTTGTCAAGAATCGCTCTCAATCCTTTAATATTTAAAGGAAACTCTTATGAATGAACGTAATTTTTCACTTCGGTTTGTGAACTGCTCCAATTTTAAAAGGTTTCACATGTCCATGCTAAGCACTTGATTTTACTAGCTCTCTGCTAACTGCGAAGTTACAACTCCCTGCATCCACTGAAGATATCAGTTTCAGTCTGCGAGTAGTATGGTTATGCATCATTAGCACGAGACTGGCCCAAGCGATTGGCAGCTACAGACACTAGTATTAAGTGGGGATGCTGTTTGGGAAGGGACTAATTTTACGTGCCATTTGAATCTAGTTTGCCTGAGGATGACTTCTGCTTTCTTACTGTTTTCTTTATTGAAATCTATGAAGACTTGATACATACTACATCAATCTATGAAGATTGATACATACTACGGTGATGATTACTACTTTCTCTATTTCCACCAACTTTTCCAAATAAATATGCAAATACAACATTATTTTAGAAAACAATCTGAAAGTCTTTCTTTTTTTACTTCAGTAATATTTGGGATACTAACTATTAAGTAGACTTTGATAAAACTTTGGCCCTTTAAGATGTAAAAACGTCCCATTTAGGGTCAATACCTTACTTTTTAAAGCAGTGTGCAACCGTGACGAGCCATATGTTACTAATCAAGGTGGCCCCACACTGATGGACATTATTGCGCTGAAGAGAAGCTTGCCAAGGCCAGGCACCCCTGGGTGCAAGTTCTCCAGACATTATTCTGTTGACTGCTAGTGGTGTAGCTCGTTTACCACAACCTGAAAGAGATGAAAATATTAAATTACAGGAAATATCCAATTTTCAGTACAGAACCTAAATGAGGACTGTAACACTGTGTTTGAAGCTACTGTTGTATAAGCATGCACTCCACCCTGTCCGTTCTCTGTATCTCCAGAGGCACTGCTTTGCTTACACCATCCCTTTGTAGAAGTGGATATTTGTTGCCCACTGAAGCTTTCTTAAGCTGCAAAGGACTGACATTCTACAAGTAGTCAAGTCAACCCTGTAGACTTGCACTTCAATCATCTAGTTATCATGGGAGCTTTCACTAAGATTATTATTTCCCACTTTCAGGTGTTTCAGAGGTGCTACTTTGACATGAAGTCTCCCTCTGGCCTGTTTGTTGGAAATCCACTCTCCTATTTTTTTCTGAGTGACTACTTTCTTCTAAGGTGGATTAATGTAACAAAACTAGTTTTTCACTCTTCAGGATGAAAGTCTCCAAGTTTATAAGTAAACATCATGTTGTCTTTTGATGGGAATAAACCAGCATTCCATTATATGCATCTTTTTTTGTCTTTTTTTTTTGAGACAGGGTCTCACTAGGCAGTTCAGATTGGCATTGAGCTCACTTTGTAGCCTGGGTTGGTCTTGAATTCACAACGATCCTCCTGCTTCAGCCTCCCAAGTGCTGGGATTACAATCACCACCATGCCTGGCTCATTATATGCATCAAACTTAGGATTCCTGCTAAGAATTAAACCCATTTAGAGCACAGTATGAACTAAAAAATGGTAGGATTATTTCTTGCTCCAACTAATTATCAAAAAGAGAATTCATTTCATTGGTATGGCTCACACTCCAAACATGGCATGGCCAGCAGTTTTAGAAGTTGAAATGCTCTGCCATGACTCTAGCTTAGACTACCATCTTCCCTCAGCTGGAGGAATAGAAGAACTTCTCACATCCTGCCTTGCTTCCAGTCTTGTGCGCTGATTCATTCTCCATGCTGGAACCCGAGTGATCTTTCTGAAATGTTTGAGCCCTTCGGTGACAGTGCGCTGTCCTTCTGACAAAGCAAAATGCTTCCCTGTGGTCTGGTCCTCAGTTACTACTAACCACAGCCCTTTCTCACGGCTGCCAGCACTGCATGTCCCAGTCTTTCCGAGGCTGTGTCAGTTATGAGAGGTGACTACGCTCCCATTTGCCTGCAGACTTTTTCATGGACCACTTCCCATGCTTGGGCACTCGCTGCTGGTCACTAGCTGTATGGCCTCACTTCTGTCCAATTTTCAGGATCACATTTTGTCTCAAGACCCTGTTAACTTTCTTTCTTTTTTTAAGCAACAACTTTATTGAACTAAACTTCGCATACTATTCAAATTACAAACTGGAAATGTATGATTCAGTAGATCTTAGCATATTGACTGAGTCGTACAACCATGACCAAAGTCAAATTTAGATCATTTCTGTTATCCCAAGGAAAAACACTGTACTCACCAGCTACCATGTCTCAATTGCTGCCCTGAAATCTAGGCAACCTCTGAGCTACTTTCTACCTTCATAGATTTTTCTATTCTGGGAATTTATTTTTTTTTCCAAATAGACCATGCTCAGAACAAAAAAAAGGAGCTTAACACATCCAAAGATTTAGAAATGCTGCAAAGCGAGCTCTCTATCATGTTGGAAAACAGAAACATATCTAGATTACAACAACTTACTTTTTCTCTGTTTCTCTCTCTTTCTATTGCCTGTCTTTCATTTCATGTTTTATTCATATATTAACTTTTCATATAAGGGAAATCATGTGATATTCAAGCTGTGTGTCTGATTTACTTCATTTAATATGGTCTCTTATTGATACTCATAGCAGTATGTGCTTTATCTGTCAAAGCATTTATCACACTGCTGTAGTACAAATTTATCCTGTCTTTCCCTACCTTGAAATTATAATTTTGAATACAATCATATATTATTCACAATGCTACCACCAGCTCCTGACTTACTTTTGGTATTTGGTAGATATTTAAAGATATTTGTTGAATGAATATATGAAGGAATGACAAATACATAAGAACCACTGCTCAAATTCTTTGCCATTTTCTTTCAAAATGCAGGCTGAAGTGAATTGAAGTCAGCTACGAATATGACACTATTAAGTATATTTTAAATAGCCAGTCTTAGATAATGGGGTTTATTGCTGTCTCATTTTCTCATTATTCTATTTCTCTCCAGAAAGCACATTTCATAGAATCTTTAAAAATTTAGAAAAACAAGTCCACTCATTCCAAACCAGAAGTATGCACTTTCTTCAAATTTCTCCAGAATTATTACCTTGTAAAATGTTTAACATGAATTCAAAAATCAATTTTAGAGTTAGAAAATCAGAATTTCTATCTATTGTTCAATTATCTTTCTCTAAGGAAAACATGGGACATAAATGGAAAATGATTAGCTGATCTTTGAAGACATCTTTGCTGATGTGGAAATTTAACTTACTTAGGTAAGCTAACTAGACTTACATGCTTGGAAAGTTAGCTTTCCTGTTGATGAGCTCATTGCTGAAAAACAAAATAGAATAAAGAATGATAATTCGATATTCTCTTACTTGGTCTCAATGACCAGGAATTATCAGAGCTTCTAGACAATGTAGATCAGTCAGTACACCCATTGGGTAGAGCAACATAAGTGTTCATTTTGTAGAGATTGATAGACAACCTCTAATAAGGTGAATAATGACTCAAGCAGTGTGTCAGACACAAATAGTGGGTGATTAAAATTCACACACAGTTTCCATTAATGCAGAACTGTGTTTTCCCAATGGTGCAGGGCAGAGTCTCTTTGGATGCCCCTGCAGGTGAGAGGAAAGGTGGAGGAGCAGGTGGCCCAGGCCTGGATCACACCATGGTGAACAAGTCTCATTTTGTCTCTTTTGTTGCTTGGGATTTCATAGAAGCCTTGTTTTTTTCTTTTGTGAAGGGGTTTAGGAGGAAAAAATTGAAAATTATCACCTAAATTATTTCTAAATCATAGATTCTTAACATCAAAATGCTTCTTTGAATAGTAAGCTGTGGTGTATTTTTATCTAATATCCACTGAGTATTGGTAAAAGTCAATTATTGAACGATATTTAGTATTAAATTTTGTCAATTTCCAACAGTTAGGAAGCTGATGAATGGAAACACAAACACTTAAACTTGGGCACATATTTAAAAATATAATCTATTCAGAGAATATATACCACTTTTGTCAATTTTAATTAATGGAAGAGAAAAAAATAAATGAGGTTATATGAAAACTGTATTGGATGTCAAGTTAAAAAAGGCTTAATGAGCAGATGGTAATAAACTATCTCGTTCTTCCAGTGCTGTATTTCTCAGACTTACCTTTTCAGAATTCCATTCCCCATGGTGCAAAATAAGCATTTCATCTTAACTTGCTGTAAATTTTTTTTTTTTTTTTTTGGTTTTTCTCCCGTACCGGGAACCGAACTCACGACTTTGCGCTTGCCAGGCAGGCGCTTTTTGCCGCTGAGCTAAATCCGCAGCCCCAACTTTCTGTTAATTGTACACGGGAAACTAGCAACAATGAACCTTTGGAAGGGGGAGTTTTTCAAAATAGTCAATTCAAAAACAACCATGCAACATTTCCAAGTCACTGCATGGTGAAGAATCAGTTGCTGAAGACACAATCCCAGTGCTTCCCCTATAGAAGGCGCTCTGTCAAATGTAGTTTAAGGCAGTAAATTTCTTGCTTCATTACTGGTTGAATTTGTTCTTAGTAATGGAAAACAGTATAATGTTAAAATTCTCTAGTTAAAACCTCATCCACTCAGTTGCAGCAACATGAAAGTCACCACTTCCAGGAGTGATATCAGGGTGAGTGTAATGGTAATAAGCACAACTGGATTCTTAGAATTCAATTTTTAGGGAGAATGAACATCCTCGGAGGTAAACTACCAATAGATAAATAACTATTTCTTAAAGATTTCTATTTCTTGCCTAGCATTTTTACGTCCCAGGTACACAAGTGAATGGAAATATTAACGCTTCAGTCTTGATGGTGACCACACCCTGCCACTTCTGAGTTGGAGAAATCGAGTTACTGTTCAGTTTTACTTGCTGCAAACGCCCTGGTTGGAGCAGGGCCTTCATCACCTAAACTGAGGCCTCACCACAGCCAGCGATGTTTCTATTAATTACGTGCTTTTTATCGGTGCACGTTTGCAGTACGTAATGTTTACACTTAGGGTTGGGGAATTTGTACCTTATAACGTGTCTTATTTCTTTTTGTCTCCTTTTTTCCTGTCCCTACCTGCTCCCTCCAACTCTTTGCCCCTTTACCATTTGAAAATGATCTATTTCCATTTTTCAATTGTCCTTTCTAAGTCCTTTTTCCCTTCTTTCCCTCCCCCATCTCATGTTCCCTTTCTCATTTGAAGAATCTCTCCCTACTTCTTCCTGTCTGCCCTTTATTTTTTTCTTTTTTTGCAATGTGAAGCTGATTTTAGCTTTGCTTTGACATATATCTAGTGAAGGACCTGCCTCCCATGGTTATTCCTCAAAACAAAACATAGCTTCTTGATAAATTTTGGATGAATCTTAAACTATGTGTTATTTGTAAGTTTGACCTAGAATCTCTATTGTTTTAAATTTAAAATTGTTTTGGAAATTCCAAGATTACATATCACTGTAGAACAATATTTTTGCCTATTTAAGAATTGCCTTAAAGATGCTACTCTAAGGGTCTTTCCTAAACTAGTAAATACCCCACATTTGAGAATTCTGGAGCCTTCCAGGCTAGTTTATTCTACTACCCGTCACACTAATGGCTTCAGGTTCTTGAAGCACACACACAATTTAATAGCTTCATATGTAACCATGTAACCTCTGTGTTCACATTATGCTTTCTATTCTCTTGTACATTCTCACAATCGTTCGGTGGTTTCGGGAAGCATAAACATTATCACTGCATTTTACAGACATGAAAATGGGCACAAAGGTACGGGCCAATTATCTAGGTCCTCCTGTGACTCAGTGGAGGTAGAATTAGGTTCCTCTTAAATCAGGTTCTGCATCTGCACATCTGATCTTTTGATCTACTATAGGCTCTGAAGTAAGGGGACACTCATAAGCTCAGCCCAGAAGATACAAGGCCAGGCACCTGATGACTACTTCATGCATCATTTCTAGTTTCAGATCTGGCTTTTGGATTCCTGGAAGATTTACTCTTCATTGGCAATTATGTAGCGTGAGTCATGTAACTTATCAGAATTGCCGCATTTCACCAACCAGATTCACGCGCCTCACCACCTAACAAAGCAGGTGGATTAAGCAGTTGATAGGCTCCTCCTTCCTGTTTGGGAGAGGTCCACAGCTTTGCTCCCTGAGTAGCTGACTGTCGCATCAGCAAACTCCTGCCTGTTCCACGACCTCAGGACCTCCCTTCCTGCTGAGGTTTCCTTGCAAGGAGTCAGCTAGACCCTTGGGAGGCTGGGCGTCCTGTGTCATGTTTGATGCAAATCACTTGCTCTGACTCTCTTAGATCTGGCATGCTTTGGGGTTTGTGGGAGAAATCTGTACCTGGCTACTTGCTGAAAGTAGATGCTGAGGAAGCAATTTGGCGTACGAGGGTAAACAGGTTTCTGTCTGACCAGATTCCTCAGAATCTCTAACATACTAATCTAAGGGTTGGATCTCCAAGAGACCAGTATCATAGAATTTGTAAATGTGGTTGAACACAGAGCCCCTTTTTAAAGCCTATCAAGAAATTAGAGACCTGGGGCTGGGGATTTAGCTCAGCGGCAAAGCACCTGCCTGGCAAGCGCAAGGTTGTGAGTTTGGTTCCCGGTACCGGAGAAAAACCAAAAAAAAAAACAACAAGAAAAAAAGAAATTAGAGACCTAAGCTCCTTTTACTTTTGAGATTCCATATCCTTTTTGGTTGATTATTACATCTACAAAGTTGAATTCTTCTACTTCCTTGGAATATAAATGTATTAACTATGTAGACAGCATAGCGATGGGCCCAGTAAATTTACTTCTCTGCTGTTTCAGCAAGTGATGGCAGTGTAATGAGCTGAGGGCAATCAGAGAAAAGTGAAATCATGGGCCAGTGGTTGCAGGAGAGTTTTTCCTTGTTTAGTGATTTTTAAAGCATTATTTATCTGATGGCTTCTGTGGCTCCAAAGTTGGTCTACTATTTTCTCAAATGTCCACAGGAAAGAAGTTAAAAACTTCAGAACGTGACCCCGTACAAAACTTTTATGTGTGTGTGTGGGGAGAGGTGGCGGGGTATTGGAAATCAAACTTGAACTCTGGGCCTTGAACATGCTAGGCAGGCACTCCACCACTGAGTCCCAGCCCTTTTTATGTTGAGACAAGGTCTCACTTCAATGCCTAGGCAGGTTTCTAATGTGCATCTTCCTGCCTCAGCCTCCTGAGTAGCTAGAATTTATAGGCCTCACCACCACAGTCAGCCAATGCATACTTTCTAAAGGCAATAGGGGCAGTGTTTTTTTTTTTTTTCCAGAAGATCCTCTCCTGTATTACAGATATTGCTTAACTCCTGGTATTTTCACCTGCTTAATCATGGAGGCAGTGGCTGGGTCAGATTAACCCTCTGCTGGTAATAAAATTTTGTCCTTATGAATGCCAATCAACTAGTTTTAGAGAAATCACTTGATATGCCAGACATGTTCTCATTAGAGAACAGCAAAACCTAGTACTATCACTTCTTTAAATTGGGTTGTTCCATACTAATTCTATTCATCCTTTTTCTAATTTTTGTGGTGCTGGAACTCTGACTCAGGTTCTTGTGTGTGCTAGGCAAGTGTTCTACCGAACTGAGTTACATCCCCAGCCCTCGTCTGCATGAGCTCTAGCTATTATTTGGAATGAAAATAATGACAGGTGAATTTGTGATTACACAAAATGGGACTTAATGAAGAACTTTACATCCCATAGAAAGCCACCTACTCACCATTAACTTGAACTGATGAGACATTTATTGGCAAGGCTCTTCTAGTCCTTATCTTCCGATTCAAGAGGCTGTGGATCTCCTTCTCTCTCACTGCCCTTTGCCCGGTGGATGGGAACTGGAATACCATGATGATGTCTGCAGTCACACTGTCTCCTTCTGGACTGTGACACACAAGGAAAGGTGCGTATTCAGAGGATGACCTTCCATGACATAAGTCTTAGGTCTACCAGTTGGGGACTTACATAAAACATCAATTCCCTATTCCATATAAAATACTTCAAGAAAGCAATAGCAAATACTCTTCCAGTCTCCTTCAGATTAAATGTGCTCAGTTTCTTGAATTTTTAATATAAATGGGTTTAATTTCCTTCACCTGTGGAACTGAATTTTTAAATACTTTTAAAATAGAAAAATTGTTATTAGAAGTTCTTATAAAATTTAAATGAATATATATTTATCTACCATCTCTCTCTCTTTTTTTTTACAGTAGAATAGCTAAGCTACTGAATCTTTCAGCTACACAAGGAAATCATATCAATTCTGAGATATTTTAGCTGTTGCAGTCCATTTAGGTTCTGGGATATGAAGATATACACAATGACAATTCAATGTCAGATTGGTGTACAGATAACCTTGCATCACAGTAATTAACACTGGTCACCAGATAGACTTTCTCTGGATCCCTACTGGAATCATATAATGATAAGAGCTGTAAATCCACAGTAATTCTTAAAATTATGATAATGTTGTTGGAATGCTACAGTGAACCAGAATTTGAAAACAGAGGGCATGAAATCTAGAAAGTTTGAGCATTCCTATGCTTTTATATCTCCTGAATAATCCTGATAATATTAGAAAATCCTGATGGAAGTCATTAATTATCAGTAAAAATGTGAAGAACTTTAAATTCTAAGTAAATCTGCCAATAAGGCAGCAGTGGTCTGTTGGGAATAAAAGTGGTTGTCATTTCCTCCAAATAAGGCCATCTCTGAACATAGTCTTTTTCTTTAAGAAGATGAGTTCAGGCTCATACAGGCTCGTGGGTTTGTGTCTATGACATACGTGCTGTGCTATGTGATTTTTGAACTAATGTAACTGAAGCCTCTGAGCAATTGCTGCTGCTGATAGGAGTCTCCCCTCCCGCACAACCTAAAGAATACTTATTTCAGCAGGGACATCTTCTCGTTCAGGCATGCCTCTTGTCACCAGGGCTTCAGAACATGTACAATTTACGATCTCATTTTGTAGCCAGTTTTGCCTTCTTCATACTTTTGAAATGACATATCTGTTGAAAAGCATACATCTTTGCACATGCTGCTGCTTTTCCTGCAGGTGTGAGGTTTGGTAGATTGTAGGCCTGAATTCCAGGCCTCACAATCAGTTGATGGAGTTTAGTTGTGGTTGTGTGACTTGGTGTAACTGTCCCTTCGGGAGTTCAATATATCACTTTCCCCCAGCCTCAAATTACTGAATATTTTTTAAAATAAAAACTGGTGGTCAGCCCTGGGTCTGGAGACTGCAGTGGAGGTAATGGTGATGAGAATCCTAGCCAAGAGCCAAGTCCATAGAGAAACAATATGCAAGGGTCCCCTTGTCCTTGGTCCTCTGTCCTGCAGGGTCATTTCCACCTTTGCCCAAACATACTTACGTCAGTCTGACTACTTGATTCTTGATATAGTGCTTGTTTAGGGCAGAATCAATAAATATCTCATCCACCTGTTATTACAAAAAGAAAGAAATTGTGTATTAATGAGATGTTTTATAATAGGACCATATCACTAAATAGAAAAATGTTAATAGGAAATTTTTCAAAGGTGTAATACAATTGATTGTTAACCAGTACAGCACAACAGATTTTTTTGCTAAGTTAAAAACAAATTACACATTCTGGAGCTCCTGTCTCAGATTTTTGGTCTCACTGATTGAGTGAGCACGGAGGAACTCATATTTTAAAAAATCTCCTCGGATACTCCTGATGTCTGGTGCTCAGAGTGAAAGATGTCATCTGAGAATTTCACAGAGTGAGGCTCTGAGAAGGGAGGGGAACCCCGACTCCATCCTGAGCTGGATCCTCTTCTGCTGCTCATGAACGGGGCAACCTTGAAAAGCGTACTGAGCAAACTTGAGCCTGACTTGTAGAGCAAAGATACTGCTATGTTCCTCAGAAGGCTGGAAGGACCGAACACGTACAAAGGGCTGAGTATGTTTTTATGGGAAATCGCTGGTGGGTCTCAGCTCTCCCAGTGGCATCAAAAGTCTTAGCTTGTTTTGAGTATCTTTAAAGGAGTTCTAAGGCCCAAGGAGGAGGCATTAGGGATTTAGGAGAGAGGAAGATTTCTAAATTGTTGTTGATTGCGACGCCTATAGTAAATCAGCAAGAAAGAGTGAGGTAATGCTGCCATATCAGGTCAAAGTTAAAGTGCTTGGAGATGAGGCCCAGGAAGAAGAGGGAACGTAACTACTCTTGGACATCTGTGCAGTTTTAAAGTCGGGCACAGCTGAGCATGCTGCCATCTGTAACACCAGAGTTGTCCTTAAAGCACCCCTCATATCCACGTGGTGATAATAGTGTCATTAGAGTGCAGGTCTGGTGGCTCCTGTTGGAGAACAGACAAGCTGGATGTGAAAAGTAAACAAAGGAATGCTGAAGGAAGGGGAGGAAAACCAACTCTTATATGCAGAACACACACACGCACACACACACACACACACACAGGTCACTATTTCAGAGACCAAAGAACAAGTTATGACTTCTTTAGCTCTATCAGGAATTCATGGGTCTTTATAAGGAACCAAAATATTTATTATCTAGTTTAACCCTCACAATTACTCTGTCAAATAAGAATTATTTTGATTCCTGTTGTACTAAAAGAGGGTACTGAAACTCAGAGACATTTTGTGAACTTGCAGTCTGCATGAGGATGAGAATCAACTGAGACTTAAACGCAGGTCTTCTCTCTAAGGTCCGTGTCTCTGTCCACTCAATTTCACTGTCTCCTTGTTAGTGCGATTCAAATGTTATTTCAGTTTCTTTCCTTGAAAATATAGCAGTAGATTATTCAAATAATTGATTTAAAGATAACTTACATAATAATTATAGAGCTATTTGGTAACAGCCTTAAATATAAGATCTTGGGCAACATTTAAGAAATAAATAAATTTTTAGTACCCAAAATATACTTTCATCTGTGCTTAAATAAGGAAATCCAAAATTTGGTGGTTTAAATTTTCATGCTAGAAATTGTACTATTTTGCAAGATATGTTTTTCCCCAAGAGTAACATCGTTTTAATGATTTCTGGTCACCCTGTTCGCATCTAGAAGGGAAGTCCAAAACAGAAGCAACAGGAAACCGAGAGAAAAGGGAAGAAACGAGGTGAGCTTTAAAAAGAAGAAAAGTAAGCAGTAACTGGCTGTCGAAAGAGGTCTGGTTTGTAATTAGTGCCCGGGTAGGATCCACCCACAGTGGATTATTGGCGGTTTCTAACTTGTTGGCGATGGGGTAGGATTAAGGTTTTCATTCTGTGGACGATGGTGTGCATCTAGCACTGTGCCTGCTGGACAGCAGCTGAACCTGGCCTCAGTTCTATCCTCGAAAGGCTAGATTTTCTGGGGAGAGAGGAGCTGAAAGAGAAACATAAGCAGAATCTGTGTGATCATAATAACTGAGAAGCTTCTTCTTTCTAATTCAAATTTCAATACCTCTCTCTAAATCAACCTCATGAAGTAAGTCTGGGATTTGTCTTAATCAGGGGTCTTCAGGTACCTCTTGGAGGCCTTTGAGAAAGGGGGGACAGGAGCTGGTAAAAACGGGGTCTGTGCTAAGGAACAAACTGGATGGGGAAAACCGAAAACAAACAAACAAACAAAAAACGCAAATGTGAACTATTGCTGAGTGCATTTTATGTATAAATGAGCTTCCTTGAGACCCAGAAGTTGTGTTTCCCAGCATATTAAAGTTTACATCATCAAAACAGTGTCTTTTGCTGTCACTTTGGTGGCGTTCCAAATTCCCAGCGATTTTGGAGAAACTGTTCCAGTTCCCTTACAAAAATTCAAACCTGTAAGTCATTTTGCTATAGATTTATTGTTGTTTGCATCACCTTAGAGGCCTAGTGATGTACACATCGCTCCTACCTTGCACTCTGGGGCATTTGTAGAGCTTTACCTTGGGAGTTTGTTTCCTTAGCTCTAAACAAAGGACTCCCTTTGAGGGCAGTGCCTCTTTCTGCTGGATGGTTTTGAAATGCTGACAGCTGGACTGAGCCCAAGTCCTACAGGGCCACTGAAGGTTAGCTGGGTGTTTAATGAAAGCGTTAGGGAGAGGCTGACAACTCAAATAAACAAATAACACCCAGCCAGCAGCTGTCCTTCCCCAAGCAGCTGTTTTCCCAGGTTGCTGCCTTTCTCTCTCAGCTGCTTCCCGGCCCTTTTGTAACAGTCTCCGCGTTCCACCGCGGGTGTTTCCAGGCTGAGCCCGCAAACATCAGATTCCTACGCTACTGAAAACTGGCAGAGGGAAGATGAAACTCCAGAAGTTTCCACCATAACACCAGACGAGCTCCCGACAGCTGACAAGTCCGAAACATGCGTGAAAACTCCAGATCTGGTTGCTTTTTTCATAATTATGGTGAGAGTGCCACACGAAGGATGGGATAGAGGACACTTTCTAAAAGCAACCTTTATCTTTAACTCAGACTTTACCTGTGGTACCTTGCACTACCCTATTCTACTAGCTCTGCTTTTCTGAGCCACAGTTATCCTTCTCCACCCATTGCAGATAACACCTCCTAATAATCTGAGGATAATTCTGTGTCCTCAGATTAACCTCTCCTCCTCTGAGTTTTTCTTATCCTTCTTGTAGCTTCCACTCCGTAGCATAGTTACTTATGCAAATATGGCGTTTCCTTACTAACCTGCAAAGCTTTGGGTACAGAGACAGTGATTTACGTTTCCACATCTTACAGTACCAGCATGGTTCTTTGCATGTAACACACAGGCAGCAGGTTTCTGTTCAATGAATCAGTGAATAAAAGAAAACGAAGGTGTATTCACCAGAAAGCCTCACATTTGCCAGGAAACTTTTGCAATAGTTTTAAAGGTACTCTATATAAAAGCTGGTAGAGGAAAAAAAAAGAAAATTGCATGTGAGTTATTCAAAGGGAGTTTTTTCTTCTTGTGGCATTTTCCAGAGTTTGTTTCCTTGTGGAAAGCTCTTATGTCAGGAGGATACAATCTTCCAAAGAACAAGAATAACTACTGCTATTGTTTGCTGGCTGTGCACCAAGTATGAACTCTTTTGTCTTTGAGCTAATTTGCTTTTCACTCAGCCATCTGTACTGAACACTGTTATTATCCGCATTATGTGGATGAGGAAGAGACTTGCCCAAGTTGACAGAGTGAGCCACGGACCCAGGACTGGAGCCAAGTCCTCCAACTCCAGAGCCTCCTGGTGTCCTCCTGGCGCTGACCTCAGGTAAGCGCAAAGGGAGGTCCTCTTCAAAAGCTCCTACCCACAGCCAGGCCAGGAGAGCTGCCTAAGAGGACCAGAAACTGCAGAGCCAGCTCCAAAAATAAGGGCATCGTCTCAGTAGGCTTTACTGCAATCTGTTACAGTTGTCACTGAATGTATTTCAAACTCTAGTTATGTTGGATTGAAGAAGTCAAAGGTGAATTACTCTCCCAAGCCTGAAAAGAGGATGGCTAGCCTGAGGCCTGAGTGTTGGGTGCTGACCAGTGCCCCCTCAGCTCTGAGCCCTGTGCTGTGTCTGCCAGTGACAGGAGTGGGACCTGGTGTCATGTGAGGTCTGGGGATGTGGTGCCACGCAAGTGTGACTTTTGGATTACCCTGCGCCAGGGGGTCATGGAATCAGCAAACAGTGTGCGATATTTTGTGATGTTCTCCATTAGTCATTTCTTGATTACCCTTGCCCTTCTTTGCAGTCTCTTTGTGGAATGGCTGGAGGAAGCAGACATCTGCGACCAACTTTTAGCAATTTTCAATATATTGGGAAACCTTATATTGAGACTGGAAGACAGGTAAATCTGAGAATTAAAAGTTTGCAATTAAATATTGTAAGATATAAACTTTAAGCATGCCACAAAAATCTGCAAATTACCTTATAGAAAGAAAAAACATCCAATTTGGGTTTATTTAAGTTATACTAGAGATACTTGAAACTAGAATATTCTGGGAAAGTCATTGTTTTGAAGATTCATGTCCTGTCTAGGTTTGTTGCTCTTACATCTCTAAATTTGATTATTCTGCCTGAAGGACCACACACACACACACACACACACACACACACACACACACACAGGATGGAAAGAGAAAGAGAGACAGAGAGAGACAGAGAGAGGGAGAGACATTTCGCTTAGCCCCTCCTACAGTACGTACTGTGGTGCTATGTTTTCCGAGTAATGATTAATAATCTAAATTACCTGGAAGATCAAAGAGTGCTGCATTTATTCATTTCCCAAGTTTAGAGATGGCTCATACTGCTTTCTTTCTCAAAAAACTTCCCTCAAAAAGCATACTCTACCACATCTTTCCTCCAACTACAGTTCATTCATGCTGAATAAACATACACGAGCACATCCAGTCACTTCTTCGCTGTCTGTTAGGGTTGCTTCTACTGCTGCCTTCCCCATCAGAAGCTGATACCAGGAAATGAGGAAATCAGGAAGAAATTTTTGAAATTTCTGTTATCCTTACAT